ATGAGTTGGAACTGACTTGATGGCACTGAACAACTGGCACGTGAGAAACTCATGTAGTGGCTGCCATAGGAAGTTAGATGACATAGGAGTTTAGATGACAACATGACACTCGGGTTAGTTTGACTTGAGCAGGCTCCCCAGTCCTCAGAACACCTGTGATTCTTCCATTTTAAACTCTGGCTTTGAAAGCTGGGTACCGCCTCCCTCTTCCGTCTTTGGAACTTTTGACTCTAAATTCATTTGTAACAGAATGAGGCCTCTGTGGCAGCCTGGATGATGGGAGTCAAGGGCTGGGGCCCACTTATGAGAGTGGGGCCACTGGGAAGGAAGGGGCAGTCATGGGGGGGGGGTCTGGAGGGGTTCAAGGAGGGAGAGGGTTGAGTCTCTCTGGGAGGGGGAAGGGTCTCAGGACTGAGTATAACTCTGGTTCCTTTATCTCTCCCGCCCACCCCTGGCTCCCCACTCTAAGGCTCCTCCATGCTCAATCTGCCCTGACCCCACAGCCCCTCTTCCCTGGGTGACCAGACACTGCAGAGCCAACTTGGAAACAGAAGGAAAAGCGTGTCTGAGGGTTCTGAGATTTCCTCATTCTCTCCCAGGACTCCTGGGCCTGCCGACCTGCTCTGCAGGGAACCACTGTAGTCACCCACCTGCCTTCCTCTCTATGACGGGAGAGCCGAGCCTCCAGAGGCAAGGGCCAGACTCAAGGTCATGCAGCCGCAGCCTTGGGGACAGACCCAGCCACCATCCTAGAGGCCCAGGGCTGCCGTGACAGCCACTCTCAGCTGGTCCCCCACCCTGCACTGCAGAGGCTGCTGTGGTACCAGAGGTGGACACGAACAATGGGAGGGTGACCGTAGTCCCCGGGGCCGTGCCAAGACAGTATCATTCTTGACTCCAGGACACTCGGAACTGACAGCCTGGCCTCGTCAGCTCCTTCATCTTACTTGATGTGGGGCCTTTTGTGCTTTGGCAGCAGAATTTGTCCCTCTCTGGCTTCCTCCCCAGCTGGAGGTATCTCTGGGGCCACCAGACCAGAACAGACAGATGGGGCTGCCTTGGCCAAGGACTCCCATCTGCCCCCATGCCCCTGGGAGAAGGCCAATAAGCCTCCCTGAATCCTGAGCCACCCCCAGCCCTCTCCTCCTTCAGAGAGGTGGGGGGCAGACGGTAAGGCTCAGCCCAGGCCTATCCCTACCCAGCCTTGCTGCACCAGGTATCCTTATTGCTATGGAATGTTGCCTAGGTTTCCCCAACCTCCACAAAGGGAACCCAATGGCTCCTGTGTTGAAAAACAAGGGACAGGGCTCCTAGGAGCTTAAGGCATAATTACAGCCAAAGTCATGTTGCTGAGGAATAAAGGAGAGAAGCACCCCTGGAATTTCAACAATGGTTCTCTCCACAGCTCAAGGTGGGGGACGTTTTTATCCCCATTTTTCTGGACAGGAAACTGAAGTGCAGTTAAATGACCCGTCCAAAGTCAGCAGCCTGTTGCTGAAAATGCCGAGACCAATTTGACGTGGGAGCTCTTCATCTTTCCTTGCCCCCTAATGACAGAGAGTGCTTTGGTTGTGTGTGTGGGGGCCTGATTTCTGTCCTCTCAGTCCACTCCCTGGTCAGGGGGTGAGGCTGTGACCCTCTCCCGCCACCCCCCACCCTGCTGCAGCCTCCCTGGTGGGTGATTCTGTAGACTCTCTCCACTTTTCCCTCGTTTATTCCCCATTTCACGCTCGTCATTTTTCTCCTGGTCTGACGGGGAATCATTCTCTCCATCTCCGCTCTCCTTTATTTTGCTGGAGGGCTTTGAAAGGCTCTAAATCAACGCCCATCAGCCAGGTCCTTGAAGGAGGTTGCAGGAGCTGGGAGGGAAAATTGGACCAAAATCTCACTTGCAAACAGAATTCACCTAATACCCAACACAGAGGCGGGAGGCAAGGTCTCTGGTCTCAGCACTACCCCCATCAGATGCCCACCCGCAAACCAACTCCTGGATTAAGGCACACATGGGCATGCACTGGCCTACACACCAAAAACCCCAAACCCACTGCCAGTGAGCCAGTTCTAACTCATGGTGACCCTGTATAGGGTTTCTGAGGCTAAGTCCTTAAGGGAACAGAAAGCCTCATCTCTCTTCTCCTGCTTGACCCTGCAGAGCAGTGGGTGGGTTTGAATTGCTGACCATACAATTAGTAGTCCAGTGTTTATTCTACAGCACCACCAGGGATCTTTGTCTACCCACAGCTTTGAAAAATTCCTGGGTTTGCTCCAGGGCCTCAGATACCAGGGGGCTGGGGCTGTGGCCACCTCTGGGGGGGGTGCTCCCTGAACTGTCCGAGGTCATATCCCCTAGGACCCTCTGACAAGGAACTCCCAGTCCTGACCTGGCGTGGCTGGTGAGCAGGTGAAACAGGGTGGGGAGGAAAGAGATATTTCTCAGTGGAACAAATCCTTCAAGATTAATTTACAAATATCTTGAACTACAGTGTGCTTGGCACCATGCTAAGGACAGAGGTTCGGCACAGACAAGATCCCATCAGGGAGGAAGATGATGATGATGGATAACAGATAACAACAGCTACTGTTTACTGCCTCATGGTGTACTGATCGAACTCTATCAGGCGGGTACTCTTATTAAGATACAGAACAGAGACCTTAAGCAGCAAGCCCAAGGTCACACAGCTGGCAAAGTGCTGTTGTTACCATAAACTTGGTTCTGAGTCATAGCAACCCTGTATAGGGTTTCTAAGGAGGGACTGGTGGGTTTGAACCACTGATCTTGTAGTTAGCAGTCCAGTGCTTATCCTGCAGCATCACACCAGGACTCTGTAGGTGAGCAGAACCCAAGTATTCTGGCAGTAGTATCTACACACCTAACCCTCAAACAATAGTGGTTCTTAGTAAAGAAACAACAGAGCAGACTCTGACCGTGGAAAGGTGTAGTGGGAGGGGGCAGAGCTACCTGAAGCAGGGTACGCAGGGAGGGCAGAAGGAAGAGAAGGAGCAGGCCAGGGGAAGGACAAGGTGTGGGGGAGTAGAGAAAGAAGAGTGCTTGAGGGCCAGGGAGAGGGAACAGCTTGTATGAAGACTCCAAGGTGGGAAAGAGTTTGGTGGGTTTAGGAAGCTGAAGGACCAGTGTGTGTGGGCTGCAGTGACTATAGCGAGGTGGGCCGGTCCCATTCACATATCACCTCTTCTTTGATGCCATCTGACAGCCCCTCCCCCCACATTTTCCTCACACCTCAGCCATGGCTCCTACGTCACTGACAGGCACGGTGTAAGGCCTTAGAAGATCACCTAATGTACCCAGATATTGTTGTTAAGTGTTGAGTTCTGACTCATAGCAACCCTGTATAGGGTCTACCAACCAAGAACCAGCTGGTAGGTTTGAACCACCGACCTTGCAGTTAGCAGTCCAGTGCTTATCTTACAGCACAATATTAGGATTCCAATACCCATATATACATTTATGGCTACCAAATTTGAACTGATTTTTGGACTATTCCTTTCGAAATTATTTGGCGATAACAAACTCAATTAGTGTATGGATGTCTTGATTTCTCATTTCCTGGCGATCATAATACATAACTGGGAATTCGATAGAACACTTGAAAATTCTGGAAAGCCTTACCTATGACTTGAATGTAAAGACAGTTTTACAAACCCTAAACTTCATAATGCTTTAAGTTGTTGGATGACATTGGGTATGTGTTTAACATGAGTATTAATTTTGATCTGACCGTTTCTTTTTTGGAGTTTTGAGTCATGATATTGCTTTCAGGTCTCAAACACTCCTATGGGCCACTGAAGCATAGGAGTGCCCCAGCCCTGTTTCCTCAACTCCCTGGAGGGAAGGCCAGAGCGTTGGTGCTTCCCTTGCACCCCTGAGCCTATTTAGCACAGAGTTTAGAGAATGAACAGCCCCTGGGCCATTGTCCATGCTGCTCCTGGCCCCGAATAAGGAAGGCTGGAGACCTGGAGAAGACCAGAGCTCCATATTGCCCAAGGCCAAGTGTAGCCCTCACACAACAGTCCTACTTTTTAGCCTGCAGGCTGGCTCCTCCATGATGGTGGAGTTACTGTGAGGACATTTGGCTGGCTACTTTCTTCTTGGGCCACCTCTATTAGTTGACCCTCAATTCCCTCTGGGGAAAAAAATCCCAGAAACAGAGGTGGGTATCAACTTAGCAGTTCTTGGGATCCCTGGCTGGGGCGGGGAGAGTGCCCAAGTGTCCACAAGGTGGCAGGAGAGAGCAGCCACTCAAGCCCAGAGCCTTAGAACTGTGAAAACTGCCCAGGTTTGTGGTTGGAAGGAACCTCCGAGCCCTAGGGTTTTTTTGGTCCATCTCAGCGTTGGCCAGGTGGCCATGGGGTTGGCATTTGAGGACAAGAGGGAGGGAAGAAGGCCTGACAGATGGGAATTCCAGAGCAGAGTAAGAGGTGTCCATGACTTGCCACCACAAGGGGGTGCTCGGTCCTGGATTTCCTCAGCTTCCGGAGGATGCTAGTCAATGTTATGATACTTGTGGCTTTGGCTGCATCTCCCCCTCCTCACCACAAAGGGGCAGTGCTGACTGCACAGGTTCACTCTGCAGGCACAGGGCTGCCCCAGGCAAATCCCACACCAGACAATTCCTGGAGTGAACCTCAACTCCCTCTCCCCCTGGGGGCAGTCTTGGGGAGCTGGCCTAGCTGGGGGTGAAGGCGCTGGGACAGACCTAAATTCGTGCCTATTTCTTGGCAGAGAGGAGGGGACCTCTCTCCTGAGGACAAGCCTGGGTCTCAGGAGAAGTGTGGCCGACATGCTGAGCCAGTCCTAACTCCTGGTTCCTGGGCTGCAGGTCACTGCTACCAGGGACTAGCTGAGGGCTTCCTCCAGCCTCTGCCTCCTCAAACCCTGCAAGGACAGCTTCCAGAACTCTGCTCCAAGAGTGGGCAGGCCAGGGGGCTCATGATGGAAGAGGGAAAGGAAGACCCTTTTGGCAGTTCTGCCACCCACCTACCGTGGTCACATCAGAGTCTGGAGGGGTCATCTCCACCAGGTTGATGTGGTAGGGAGCGTCCTTCCAGGTGGGGTGGTTGTCATTGATGTCCAAGAGAGTGATGTTTACCTGTGGAGCACACACACCTAAGTTGGGCAAGGGCAGGGGTCTGCCAGTCTAACACTCGAATGCTGACAGGGCCTCATGGGATTAATTCCACCATCTCCACCACTTTGGGGACCTTGGGACAAGGCCTGGGTTTTCAAGGGCAGGAGGGAGCCAGTTCCCTCCAGGAGGGGTGGGTTGAGATGCAGTTTCATCAGGGGACAGGAGGATGGATGAGATAACTTGAAATCCTGCAGTGACCCCAGGTTTTCTTCCCCCTCGCTCCTAGTCTTGGCTGAAGGTGACTGACAGGGTGGGGAATCTGATAGAATCCCTTGGGTTTCCCAGTCTCAGCTACAAGCCAAGCAATTTCCCTGCACACTTGCTGCCCAGGTAAATTATTTATAGAGCTCTGATTCCTATTAGCAGGGACCTCCTGCGACTGACGAGGGCACTGGGGACTTTCATGTAAGTCCCTGGTCAAACCAACCCTAGCCCCTTTGACTGGGCAAGCGGGGGGAGGACAGTACTGTGGTTGGCTATGGGAAGAAACCTGTGATCCTCAGAGATAGGTCTTATAGGGATCCTTGGGAAGAGCCAGAGAAAGCAAATGGGGAACAGGAACGGAGAGGGCTGGAGTGCCTTCCCCAAACTCCCATGGAGGGTGTTTACTGCTTCTCAGTCAGCCCCCACTCTCTTCTGCATTCCAGAGCTCATTCAAGACTCCCTACTGCCTTCCTTTAGCTTTCTACCTGTGGTGGCATCTTCGGGGAAGTAACAGGCCTTGGGTGGGGGCTTTGTCCTACTGGTTCAGGGAAGAGAAATCCAGGTGTTCCATCTCAGCCTCCCCAGGGTTGGGGTGGTGGTAAGAACAAGTCCCCAGGGGTCCTCTGGGCCCAGCTTCCTGCTCTGAGCTGCTGCTGCTGCTGCTACAGAAAGACCCCTCTGACTCTTGGCAGGGGTAACCCTGGGGGTTCATGCCTTCTGCTGCCTGCTCAACTGGCCTCTGGGGGGAGCTGAGGTGATGGACTGAGACCCACCACCCTCCTCTACTCCCACAATGCTTGCTCTGCTTCAGGACACAGGTGCCCAGAGACTTGGGGTGCCATCTGAAGATGAGCTAGGGGCACGGAATGGACACACACATGGCAGGAAAGTGGGGAGCCAGGGGCACGGGAGGGGACACTCACAGTGGCAATGCCAGTTTTTTGGTTGTGACCCACACCCCCATCCATGGCGCGTACGATGAGGATGTATTCGGCCTTGATCTCTCGGTCCAGCAGGGAGGTGGTAGTGATTTCACCTGCAGGGGAGAGAAGGGAGTGAACGGTGGTGCAGAGAGTGTGAGAGGGCAGGAGAGGAAGAGAGGGGTCCTGCAGACAGTGTGTGTGTGTACACATGCAACAGGCAGTTGGGAGACAAGAAGACAGACACGGTGCTCAGGGAAGGGATGGCAGCACTGTGCCTTGGGAGTCAGTGAGGAGGAGGTCTTTTCAGACCTTGGAAAGTCTGGGCTGAGACTGGGGAGCAGGGCAGGAGAGCCATCCAGACTCAAACTTAAGCACCTCTCATTCACAGTTTTGACATTATCTCACTGACTTTATCACCAGTCACTTAAACCCTGTATGCCTGTTTCCTCATCTGAGAAACAAACAAACAAAGCGCACTGCCATCAAGTTAATGCTGTAGGACAGAGCAGAACTGCTCCTTAGGATTTCCAAGACTGTAAATCATTATGGGAGTAGGTGCTGGTATTGTTGTTAGGTGCCATCGAGTCGGTACAGAAGAACAAAACACTGCCCAATCCTGGGCCAACCTCACTACTGTTGCCACGCTTGAGTCTATCGATGCTGCCACTTGGCCAATCCATCTCGTTGGGGGTCTTCCTCTTTTTCTCTGACCTTCCACCTTACCACACATGATATCCTTCTCCAGCTACTCGTCCCTCCTGACAATATGTCCAAAGTATGAGAGACGAAGTTTGACCGTTGTGGCCTCTAAGGTGCACTCTGGCTGCACTTCTTCCAAAACATCTATTGGTTCTTTTGGCAGCCCATGGCACTTTCAATATTCTTCTCCAATGCCATAATTCAAAGGCATCAGTTCTTCTATGGTTTTCCTTATTCACTGTTCAGCTTTCACATGCATATGAGGTTATTAAAAATACCATGGCTTGGGTCAGGCGCACCTTAGTCCTCAAGCTGACAGTCTCATCTTTTTCCTTTGGGCTGGCTGGTGGGTTTGAACTGCCAACCTTGGGGTTAGCAGTTCAATGTGTAACCCACCATGCCACCAGGGCTCCTTTATCTGGTCAGAAGGGACTAATAATAAGACCTCCTCATAGGGTTGTTGTGGGGATTACTCTAGTTAATTTCATGGAAAGCTGAGCTATTGGGAGTCACAAAGATCCAGTGACAAGGCTGAAAAGTACCAAGTTTTCCACGCAGGCTCCAGCTTGTGACTCATTATTGGACAGTTCAACTGGCAGTGCACTGAGACTAATTAAAAATAATTCCTTTAATTTCCATGTGCATAATAACACCATTATATTGCCTTGCGTTTCTTAGTGTGCAAACAAGTTATTCTGTTAAATCCAAGTACACACATTTGAACATCCCACCATTTTTCTCCACCTGTTTCGTCACTTTTTTTATATTGTAATATAACTGGAAAAGGGAAGTGCCACCCAAGCAGTGAGTGGTGCGCTCGCTGGTTGATGTTTAGCCACTGGCTTTTCCACAGGAGGAAAAAAAAAAGGTCTTTATCAATTTCCATGGTTTAAATACTCTCAGCCATGCCCATTTAAAACTACCAAGCTGATGGTATTGAACATGGAGTTTGGAAGAGATGTGCACACAGAATTGGCTCTTATAAGCTGATATTAACTGTATAAGCCAGTTTTGCCAAAATTACTGTGGCCAGGCCATTTGCCATCTCCTATGGGCTGTAGCATAGTGGTTACGAATTGGGTTGCGAACTGCAAGGTCAGTAGTTCGAAATCACCAGCTGTTCCGTAGGAGAAAGATGAGGCTTTCTGTTCCCATAAAGATTTACAGCCTTGGAAACCCTGCACAGGGTCGCTATGGGTTGGAACAGACTCCACGGCACATAACAACAACAACAACAACAACAATGGGCTGTGATTCTTGGTGTGGCACTGTATGATAAGCACTTGACTGCTAACCAGAAGGTCAGAAGTTCAAACTCATGGGTTGCTCCTTGGAAACTCTACACAGGGTCGCTACAAGTCAAAATTGACTTAAAGGCACTTACTGACAACAACTTGGATTGTGAGAAAGAGTGTCTACTTTGCAGATCAAGAGACCCAGAAGTGAATTCTGGCTATGGACCTTTCCAGATACTTGGCCTTGGGAAAGTTCCCTAAATTCTTTGAGTCTCAGTGTTGTCATCTGTAAAATAGAGATGATGTGGCACTGTGGGTTAATGCGTTGGACTGCAAAGTTGGTTTGAACTGCAAGGTCGGCAGTTCAAACTCACCAGCTCCTCGGAAACCCTATACAGGGTTGTTATGGGTCAGAACCGACTCAATGGCACTTAACAATAATAACAACAACATTCCTTCCAATCAGAACTACTTTGAAGATTAAATAACTGTAAGCAATGCCCCTTATCGGCAGAAAATTAGTTTCTTCTCAATGGGCCTAGAATCCTTCAAGGGCAGGGACCATGTACTATTCATCTTTGTGTCCTCATTGCCGGTGTGACCTGGGGGCAAGTCACTTAACTTCTCTGTGCTTGGCTTCTTCTACCATAAAACATGGGAGCTGGGCCTGATGGTTCCTAGAACCCCTCTCACCCTGACCTGTCCTCTGGACCATGTGGGGTTGAGCAGGGAGCTGGAAATAGGAGCCAGGGGGCAGCTGTTAAGATTGCTGAGGTGTTAAGACTAGGAAGACAAAGGTATGCCTGCTGAGCCATGTGCTCTACCAGGGTGGTGTGGATTCATTGGCAGGGGGAGGAAGAAATGAATCTCTGAAAAGTTTGCACATGCACTTGTCGGCATGATGGATCACTCCCCCGTCTGGGAAATTAGATCCAATTAAGGCTACCTTTTTGGAGCAAGCCTGGCTAATTTGACCCAGGACCTCAGAGAAAAATGCTTACATCTTTTGAGCTCAAGGAGCTGTGATAGGCAGCAAGAAAATGTCCATGTTGTCATCATTAGAGCCCCCAGGTAGGGACAGAGTCCTGGGTTACGGAGGCAGAGGCAGGGTGCTGAAAGGTCAGGGTGCCCAGCGCTGTCTCTGGGTAGAGGACCAGGGACCTAATGTGGCTTTAAATAATGTAGTCTTTAAAGAAGGGGCACTGGAGTGAGTGGTTCAGTCTCTGTTAAGTTAGCCTCTCTGTGCCTCAGTTTCCTCATCTGGAAAATGGGGACAATACAAGTACAAGGACCTGCCTCTTAGAGCAGTGAGGAGGTTTAAGTGAGAAACCGGTCAAAGCACTTATAATAGTGCCTGGCTCATGCCATGTACTAGTTTAACATTAACAGGGTACCGTCAAGTTGATTCGGACTAATGGCATCCCCAGGTGTGTCAGGTAGAACTGCAATCCAGAGGGACTTTTATGGCTAATTTTTCAAAATTGATCACCAGAGGTCTCTGGATGGACTTGAACCTCCGATCTTTCAGTTAGCAGCAGACTACATAAACAATTTGCATCACCTCGTGGACCCCTTGGTTAATATTAGCTAATGATTTTACTCTGAGATCTTCTTGTAAGTTTGCTGTGGACAGGTGCGCCTGAAAGGAGGAGGGAAGAGCCCCCATTTTTCAGAAGCAGAGGAGAGTCCATGGGTCCCTTCTCTTTAATCTCTGTACACATCAACATCAGTCACCTGCTCATCCAGCTTCCAAGACAGGAGAGGAAAGAGAGCTTGACAGTAGAACTGGACCGGGAGGGTAACAGGGAGACCGCTGGTAAAGTTCACCAAAGAGCCATGGTCCCTTCCCAGGCTGAGTGCCAGAAAGTGGTTGCCAGGCCAGGGCCTATGATCCCCAACCTCCCCCATATCTTGGTGGGACTGTTACTCAATGGAGTGTGGATAGCAGTGACCTCTAGCACTGTCGGGCTCATAGAAACCTTTTTGCAAGACACCCCAGTTCTTTCCCTTCTGCAGTAACTGTGGAGCCACAACATGGAAGGAATTTGGGCCCCAGAATCAGTATGGAAAAGGCTACCTGATGAATAAGAATTTCTACTGTGTTAAACCACTGAGATTTCAGGGCGTATTAGAGGATTTTTTTCTCCTTCTCACACCTGTTCAGCTTGCAGGTCTTTTCATGCATCTACTTGTAGATTACTGTCATTACAGGATTGTGTATATGATAGTAGTTACCTCTGGTGCCTTTATCTTTTGTACTCCTCCCTGTGTCTTTATTATCTGCTGTTTATGTTGTGTGCTGTGGAGTCGATTCTGACCCAGAGACTCTGGGACATAGAGTAGAACTGCCCCACAGGGCTTCCCAGGCTAGAATTTACCGGAGCATGTCGCCACGTCTTTTTCTCCTGTGGAATGGCTGGTGTTAGCCATTGTGCTACCAGGGATCCTCTGTGTATCATCTAGTGTTCTCTTAAGTGATACAGAGATAGGATCTTTTTGACATGGGATGCCTGTGTACCTTGGAACCCCATGAAGAACATATCTGATCTCTTCATGCACAGGCCTGGCACAGGGCAGCCCCCACTGATCTTGGCCTCAATAGATGTATGAATGTGCAGGTGCCTCATATAGTCCTTCCCAGCTTCTGGCTGGAAAGGACAGAGATAACTTTTGTTGCTTTTATTCTGCACGCCTTCTTCCCTCCTAGCCTTAAGGAAGAGAGAGCTAGAGGGAGGCATAAGGAGAGAGGAAGTCAGAAAAAGAAAGTTACTCGGGTTGAGCACAGAGCTCTGGCTGGGGGTTCCGAGGTGAAAAGACAAAAAGAGAGTAATAGTGAGGATGATACTGACTGATTCCTATATGTCAGGAACCAGTCTAACTGTATTTCTGATAATAACTCATTTAATCAACACAACAGCCCTAATAAGATCCTCCTTAATAGTACAGGTGGGGCTGAGGGTGGTTCTGTGGTAAAATTCTCACTTTCTACGCAGGAGACTCAGGTTCAACTTCTGGATAATATACATAATGCAAAGCCGCCGTGCTCTGTCGCTGGAGATGTGTGTGTTGGTGTGATGTTGGACAGGTTCCAGCAGAGTTCTAGACTAAGAAAGAGTAGGAAGAAAGACCTGGTGCTCTGTTTCTGAAAAATCAGCCAATGAAAACCCCATGGGTCACAACA